ATCACTGATTATTGGTGGGGTTTGTCACCTTTGGGCCAACCTTTTGTTTCAATGACAAAGTTCCTAAACAACTTCCAACAAGTCATTCAACTGTCTCACTCAGCCCAGTAAGAAAATTAAGACCCATATACTCTCCCAAGGCTAATGGGCTTTCAGGAGAATACAGGAAGAAAAGCATCACATTTTTCATATCTTAAACTCATTTTCTGTTTTGAGAAGCTGCCAGGGTCAGTTCAGAAGTTTCACATTAAAAATATTTTGCACCAGTTTCCACTGAGGGAGAATCACTTTTAGTTTCAAATAATGGCAATTTCACTGTTTTGCTTCTGAAAACTTCCTGTCAAAATCTACCTGTGCTTCACATTTTTGTGGTGTAATGTCATTTTAAGAGGGAGGAAAAAAAAAAATTAAAGAACACTTGGCTGTTCTATCAAAAATAAAGCCATATATAACTTCCTAAATGTAGCTCGGGTGTACATGGGTTTGTACTCCCCTCTCCAATTGGAGGGAATTATTGGCAGGGCAGTGTGCTGTGGAGGGACATGGGAAACCAGTGGCCGCCTCTGTCCCCTATAGAGAGAGTCAGGCCCAGTCAATCAATTACTTAACTATATACAAATTTATTACAACAAAACCATTAAAGGGTAAGGATAGATATGTTTGTAACCTGGGCAGTACTCCAAGAGGTACCCCCTCTCCAATTGAAGGGATCAGAGCAGGTGCACAAGCACTGTGGGAGGTGTAGGGACTCTCCTCCCCCTATAGAGCAGAGCCAGACCACCAATGCGGACTCAACCATATACCTTTAATGAGAAAAACAGTAGTGGGAACATAACATGTATAAGCCAGGGGGTGCAGGGGACAGTACAACACCCCAACGGGGCAGTATTCAATAAAGGTTAGGCACTTACAATTGTAGACATATTCTTCCAGTTGACAGGAGACAGGTTTAACAAAATATAAAACACGAACAGCAGAACAAACAATACTGGTAGGTGAAATATGAAAAGGCACAAAATGTCAAATAACAAGAAATATAGGGCCTAGGTACCTGGAGAAGGGGAAAGAGGGAAGACACTATAACCCCCTTCCACTGCAACAAGAATTTCTCCCTGTCACTTCACTCATCCTTATTCATCCCAACTGGAACCTGCACTCAGAGCTCCCACATGCTAGGCAGAAACTCTACCACACAGCCACCAGTGCTAGTATTGCTACAAGCTGCTAGGGGTTTTGACCTTCCAAGACCCCCTGCCTCACATCAAGCTTTCTTGCCTCTTGCTGGAGAAGCTGGAAACCTCTCAGGTCACTACTCAGCTTCTTGCTGGACCTGGGGAACCTCTCCTGCTGGCCGCAGCCTCTCGTAGGGGGATCCAGGAGCCCAGCGGGAAGCCTCTCCTGCCAGCAGCATGCCACGCTGTTAAGCGTCTAACTGCTGCCTGCAGGTCTCACTCCTTCAGGTGCTTCTGGGCAACTGCTCCCACCCTGCTGGCCCAGCTCTTTGAAATACCTTCCTCCTGGTCCCTTGCTGGTCTCCTTGAAGTCAGCTATACTGCCCCTTTTAATCCCCTCCAGGTGACCCAAGGGGCTAAATCAGGGACATGGAGGGTGAATCTCTGGGGCCTAATTGGTGAGGAAAGGGAATCCCAAGCCCTCCAATCATTTTTTACCCTTTCAAAACCCCTGGGCCAAATCATTACCAGGTAGCCTGTCACATGTACAAATTTATAAAACAATAAACCTTATACCATACACATACATTATTCGAAAATACAAGTGAACAATAGAACAACCCAGAACAAAGGATATTGATTGTGCAACCTTATAACTCTATTAATATACAAACTATTACTTCAGCTTATTCACATAAACTATAAGGCACAGGCTACAAATATAACAAACAATTCTTATACTACCTGGGTGCCCTCCAGGGCAGGGGCCCCACTCCCAAGGTACCACTACAGGAAAGGAGATGGGGAGGGGGGGAAGAAAAGGAGAGGGAGACTCTAAAGACTCCTAAGCACCCCTTATCACCCAGGAGCAGCTCATGTGGTGCCCCTTCATAACCCTGGGGGCCCCTCCTCTGTGCGAACCCTCTCTCCAGGGTTACTTACTACTCCACAGTCCTGGAGGATTGCTCCCATTCTCCAGGTTGAGCTCTGTGTCTGCTGGGTTTTCCTGCCACCTCACTCTGCTGCCACTGGCCTGGCTTAGGGCTACATGCACCGCTGTGTGTAGCAGGCGCTTCACCTTATGTTAGGGGTTGGAGGCCCAGGCAGCCTTGTGCAGCCCAGGGCTAGGTCTGCTCCTAGACCATCTGTGCAGTATCATCTGCATTTAGCTCCTGGCTTCATGTGGAGGTTGGGGACCTAAGCCACTCAAGCAGCTCCAAAAATCCTGCTCCATGCACGAGCCTGTGCACTGTGTCTCTGGCTGCATGCCAAAGGTTGCAGACCCAAGCCACTTCATGCAGCTCCCAGGATCTGGATGCCGTGCTGCACATCAAGAGCCTAACCACTGGAGTCACCCACAGCTCCCCACTGATAGAAGTCTGCAGGGGCTCTTCTTAGCTACTGCTTTACGCTGCTGAGCAGCTCTCTTAAGGCCTACTCTTCTCTGTCCCCATGCATCTCCCTCGTACTGGGCATGCAGCTCCTTTTATACTCTCCAGGGCTCCGCCCCCTGAAGTCTTCCAGATCTGACAATGTTGCAGTCCACAATCAGGTCCAGGTGAGCTCTCCTCCCCATTCCCCTCAGGAAAGGGGCGCGAATTCACCGCTCTTACTGCCTCCTGATTGATGAATGGGCTCCACCAATCAAAACAGCAGGATCTCAAACCTGGGACTCAGGCCAAGCTCTAAAAGGTAAGCCTGCTACATAAATTTAAAAAATACACGTTTTTTTTATCAAGGCAAATGAATACAGCTGACTGGCTTTAACTGCATAGACCAATGCCTGATGCATAGATTTAGAGGCCTGATGCCTCTAAGAATAGCCTTTGAGGATGAAGGTTGTAGCCTTGTTGGTTTAAGGACATAGGCAGACAAGGTTCTTAATCTTTGGGTAAATGTGATATCTTTTATTAGACCAACTAAACAGTTGGAAAAATTAATTGACCTGCCCTCCTCACTCCAGGCCTGCTTTAGAAGCCTGGCAGCAGCCAGCTCCAAGACGATGCAGTTCAGAGGAGCACAGGGATGTCAGAGTGGAGATAGCAGGGCCCAGGAGATACCTGATGCTTGCGGCAGTCCGGGTGGTTTTGCCAGTTCTCATGATGTTGAGCAAGTCAGGGTGAAGGGAAGCACTCGGCTCTCAGTAATTCTCTGGCCCTCCTGGCTGTAGAGCAACATGCGTCTTTGGGACTCAGCTTCCCCCTCAAGGCTGAGATGTGAAGGCTTGAAGGCAAAGCAAACAAGCCTAAAAATTACAAGCACATGCTTGCACACCTCTGTGGACTTCGAAAGAAGCCCCCAAAGCGGAAGAAAAGCCTCACTTCCCCTCTGTCCCCAGAGACACAGGTCCCCTCCCCTTGTCCCCCAGCCCCCCATCTGCTTTCCCTGCTGTCCCCAGGTGCAGGGCTGAATTAACCCTTTACTGGGCCCTAGGCAAACGAATGTGTGGGTCCCAAGCTGGTTGAGACCCCCTTCCCCACCCGGGTGCTGCTGCCACAGGGAGTGGGTGGGCCTCAGCTGCTGTGGCAAGGCTGGCAGAGGGGAGGGGAAGGGAAGGGAGGAGAGGTGGATAGGGCCACCACCATGGAGAGAAGGGCCAGGCCCCCACAGTTTAGGGCTCTAGGTGACTAGTTTGCCTGTGTGTTAATCCAGCCGTGCCCAGGTGGGGGAAGCTTCACAGCTGCTCCTTCCCCGTCCAGGGGGACTTGTGTGGGGCTGGGCTAAGACCAGGAGAGAGGGGGAGACGCCTCTGAGGCAGGGGGGCGCTCATCTGCTTCGGGAACTTTACAAAGGCTCGGGGCTCATGCCCGCAGGGCGGGACAGGGCTGCAGCTGCGGGCGCACCCCCTTTGCCAAATCCTGGATCCGCCCCTGCTAGGGGAGGGTGGGGTGGGGGCGCGTCTTTGCCAGGACTCCTGGATGCTTCACGGGGCTTCTGTCACACGCAGTCACCACGACCCCGCCCCGGGCAGCCTCGGGCAGCCGGGATTCCACGGGGGGCGTGGCAGGGGCGTGTCCCGGCCGCCCCGCCCCCGGGGTGCGGGGCGCACTGCGCAG